TCAAATCTAAACACCCTATATCAATATTAGCATACTACTTCCACAATTCTTGTTACAATTCTTGTTTTTATTTCATGTTACAATTAAGTGTGCTAAGTGCTAACAGTTCGAGTTTTTTTTTGTGGTTTCAAATTCACCACAAGGCCATTTATTATATTAGCATGATGTTGTTTTAGTGTTGCTTATGAACTGTGACATGATTATAACAAAGTTTCTTGCGGTTTAGGATCCATTTTTGTGATAATATAAATGAGTTTTATTGATTGTATGATTTTCAGTTTGTTTATCTTCATAGTTTAAGTATATAAGTTGCTCTTATGATATCCGGCTGTATCAGTTTCGGTCTCGTCAAGTCTTGTTTCGCCTTTGGCAAATGTTTTGTGTAGATTTTATTTGCATTTGATGTATTTAATTCGGTTAAGATTTGGGGTTCAATTACAATGTGTTTGGACATGTTATATTAATGCAAAGTGGAAATGTTGATGCTTGGTTTATTTTGTGGAGCTCTTGTTTTTTTTTTTCAATTGGTATGTTCCTTATAGTTTTTTTGGAGTAAATCGAAGGATTGGATTCGATACTGTGCTGGTTTTGGCTATCCATATTGCCTGATGATGTGCGGTTTTAAATACTGCTAAGCTTATAACCTGATGTGATCAATACTATATGCATAAACCATGACTCTTTGGTATATACAACATGAACATGAGATCAACTTGTTTTTTCTTCCTTACTAAATGATTTTGATTTTGGGTCGTAGGCCCTTCTTGCTTATGTTATGAACTTCTTTTTCTCCTAATTATGCCCCCTATTCAATTATTTGGAAATTCCTATGGCATGGATAATCTTGTAAATTCTTGTGTTTAGCTTTGTGATGGGTTACTTAGCAACTTATTTTCATTTACCTTTGTATTAAATTCTTTGAGATAAATTGGATTTTCGGTCCATGGATTTGATTCTTGTACGCCGTTATGCCACGCAAAATTCTTACACATCAATGGAAATTTTCGCTGCATTATGACCCGTGTGTATGACATTTTTCATGTTGTCATTACACGCAAACCGGATTTTGAGCATGATGTTACCAAACTTGATTCAATTTATTTTTGTACTCACCTTTCTCTAATCAAATTATTTAAATAAATCTTGAATTGGGTTTAATTATTTAATTTTGTTAATCAACTTTAATTAACTTAATTATTTGACTTAATCGAATAATTTTGATAATTAATTTGGATTAATTTAATTAAGTGATTTAATAAACTTTGACCTTTTGATTTTTGATAAATAAAATCAGACCAAGATCGATGGACTCCAAAATTTGAATTGCTTTTGTTTATACACACTTGATTTCGCGTTATTTCATCCCCATTTGGCAAAATGTACCCCAATTTCCATGAAATATAAATAACTTTATCGCTTTCCTTCATTTTGTTTATATCTTGTCATTGAACTGATTAAACCATTTTCAAACCTATTCTCGATCCAACGTCAAGCTATTTTTCACTCTTGTAAGTCGATTGCTTTCAAAGCGTCACCATCAACCTTTGGGTCACTATACACGATATTCAAAGCTTACTCCTGTGCTTCCTTACAATGAGACCTATTTGATCAATTATTTCTAGTTGGTCATTTAGAAGACTAACCCACTTTGCTAGTATACACGATTAAAACTCAGTTCAGTTGCTTGTTCATTTGTATCTTATCTGATATCTTGATTTAGATTGAGACCTTTGAGCGTCATTAATCCATATCAAGTTCCACCACCTATTTTATAAGTTGAGCGCCTTTTCCTCGCCATCGAACTTACCCTAAACCATTAGGACCTCTTTACCATTTAGTTCAAACCTTACACTTTTTCGTACGCAAATTTAAACCTCGATTCACATCGAGTATTTTCTTCAAACCAAATTAACATACTTAACCAAACTTAAACACAATTTCAAATAAAAGATGAAAAGGGAGTTGGAATGGAGTCTTCGATTCCTCTCCTCAATTGTTTGGCCCCGAGGAGCATTTCTTAAGTCCGAACAATTGTCTTCTCTAAAAGATTCATAATGAGAAACGAAATCAAATCTATTTTCTCAATACTTAGATGAATGAGAGAGAGAGAGAGAGAGAGAGGAGAGAGAGAGAGAGAGAGAGAGAGAGAGAGAGAGAGAGAGAGAGAGAGAGAGAGAGAGAGAGAGAGAGAGAGAGAGAGAGAGAGAGAGAGAGAGAGAGAGAGTCAAACCTTTGACTCACTCTCCCGATTACTTGGGCCCGAGGAGCCTTTCTTAAGCCTCGAGTAATCGTCATCCATTTAAACTACTCTAACTATATCAAAGCTCTTTCATAATATAAGATGAAAAATAGAGAGAGAGAGAGAGAGAGAGAGAGAGAGAGAGAGAGAGAGAGAGAGAGAGAGAGAGAGAGAGAGAGAGAGAGAGAGAGAGAGAGTCAAGCCTTTGACTCACTTTCCCGATTACTTGGGCCTGATGAGCCTTTCTTAAACTTCAAGTAATCGTCATCCGATTAACTTACTCTAACTATATCAAAACTCTTTCACAGTTAAGGTTTAAAAAGATTGAGGGTCGAGTCTTCGACTCACTCTCCCGATTACTTGGGCCCGAGGAGCCTTTCTTAAGTTTCAAGTAGTCGTCATTCAAACAAAGCATCCAATACATATCAAACTCTCTTTTCTTGCCCTCGTACGATTGAAACTTCTCCAAACACTAATTCCTCTCCCCCATGCGATCTATACTCAAACACTTTTCAAAAGAACATTGTTTAGTCCCTTCTCCCGCGCATATGAACTAGTGCTTCAGCCTCCCCTATCGAGCAGACAAGCCAACGTTTAGCAGTTAGAATGCGACCTAAACACTCGTTCGTTTCAAATACAAACCAATCAATCGTAGTCTTCTGAACTACGGACGCTCTGATTTCTCATTTGTCAATGAGAATACATAGTCATAGGATTGCGAAATTCTAACGAGCCACCTTTTTCTTTTTACCCCAAACCTTTTCCCGTAGTCCCACGAACTACGATGCTCTGACTTTCCTATTGCACGAGGGAGTACATAGGCATAAAGACCACAATGCTTGGCGAGCACCCTATATAAAAACACCCATTTCCCCTAATAAGCAAACCCTTAGAAGATGACAAACAAACTTATCTAACTTCTCTCACGAATCAAATCAAGAGGTTTCCGTTGAGTACAACGGACGTAAAAGGTGTTAATACCTTCCCTTTGCGTAATCGACTCCTGAACCTAAAATTTGGTTGTGATGACCATGTTCTTATCTCTTTTAAAGGTTTTATCGATATTTTCCTATTCCTTCATTGGAATGAATAAAGTTCGGTGACGACTTTGTTCGAACGTTTTTTCTGCGACCATCGCGAGGATCGTATTTTTCGAGGTACGACAAGGATGAACCATTTCAATTACAATTTTACCACTCCTCAAACACATAAAAGTCTAGATGCAAACAAAATTATTAGATGCAAGAGAAACTCACCACAGAATAAATAAAATGCAAACAATTTTTTAAAGAAATGGTTCTAAAATTTACACAAACAGGTCTCACCGGGTGTGCAAATTTGTTCACCAATACTTTTGGTAAACAATAACTTAATTTTAAATTTATTGCTTGAAAATTCAAACCAATAAATCCTGGGGCAAATTTTTTCTAAATTTTTGGAAAAAGAAAATGTCCATTAATATTGTTGGAATACTTACGTTAAATGTTGACTATCTTAGAAAGATGATTAATTTTGAAAGTAATTGTAACAAGTGATTTTGACTAAGTTGAAATTAATGGCTTTAATAGGAATAAATTAAATGAAAAAGAACTTTACTTGTATAAGTAAAGAATTGGTAGGCAAAAACATTTCTTCAAAGACTTCTCGCTTACATATGGATAATTTGAGTTTATATTGAAGTTTACAGTGATTTTTTCATCCTTGAAAACTAACACTAGAATCCCTATTTATAATATTATGAAACTAACAGTCTCCAACATTCAACTGTCTTCCGTCCAACACGTTACTTCTACATGCTCTGACTGTCTTTGATTGATCTCCACGCGTTCCTGGCGTTTTTGATAAGATCAAAAGTCAATTATCTAGTTTGAAATGTGAATCTACTTTAGTCGGACCTCTTTCGACTTGTCGAATTGATGAGTGACCAAATCCTTAAAAAATTTCACTAAGTACCGGAGCAGATTCTTCAATGTCGAACATGATTGTTTTCCTCCAAGGTCTCCGGTCGAAAAGCATTTAACTTTGCCTTGTGTTTGCAGAAATTTCAACTGATTTCCTTGTTGAATTTGCATGTTGAAATTTCTTGACCATCAACATGCTACTACTTCTCTCGTAAACATAAGAATTTGACTTATAAATTGGAATAGAAGAAGTTATAAATAAAAACAATTTAAATTAAAATTATATACCTCTCCCTGTCATAATTAAAATGTCACACAATCAGAGTATGCAGTGAGAAAGGTAGGGTCAGATGATCAATTTTTTTAAAAAAATTCAGTAAAAATGCATTCAAAAAATTGATTTATATTAGACATTCTTAGAAAAATCGATAAAATGCATGGTTTGCATGAAATATATAATAACAAAATTTTCGGCAAAACACATAAAGTTAAAGGGTAAACACTGCTTATTTATAAAATTTCGTTATTTTTTAGTAAATCTCTAAAACAAATTGTTGTTTTTAAAAAAAAAATCCAAAATATGTGATTTGGAATGTGAAACTGTTGGTAATCTGGGGGTGTCAGAATCAGGTTAAGGGATGGGAGGTAGATTTTTCCTTACTTGAGAACCATGGGTCTTTATTATAAACTAAAAGCCCCAACGGGCCCAATATCTAAAGCAACAACAGAACATCAATGGATCAGCCCACACGTGAAAAACCCTAGTGAACTATCACATTCCGTGACTTGTCTTCTTCGCACGCCTTGTTTGGTTTTGCGATTTGTGAGCAGTGAAGTGTTGTTGAATCCGAGCTACAACCATGGCGGCAAGCAATCGCACAGTGTTGCAGTTCTCTTCATCTTCTTCCTCTTCTCAGAGCTTGTCCGCAAAGGTTCATCCTCTTGTTATCTTCAACATCTGCGACTGTTACGTTCGTCGCCCTGATCAAGCCGAACGCGTCATTGGAACGCTTCTCGGATCTGTTCTTCCCGATGGAACCGTCGATATCCGTAATTCCTATGCCGTTCCTCACAACGAGTCTGTCGACCAGGTCCTTCACTCTCTTCCATCTACATTGTTATTGTTTTTAGCTCCATATCTGAATCTGTGATGAACGTTTCCTCATTCCACTTTATTTGAATTTAGTTTAATAATTTGTTTTGTTTATTTCAATTTATACGATTTAGTTTTGTATTTTGAGTTATGTATGTTCCAAAGTATTAATGAGAAGAAATGAAACCCTAAATCCAATAATTGGTGTGTTCAGTGTTGTGATATAAACGCTTATCTCATGTTCAGTTCGGATAAGCTCGAAGCTAATCCAAAATTTGTTTGTGTTTTGAAATAAATAGTAATCTAAGTCTTGTGAACCCTAGAGTTTCCTATAAGTAACGACATCCACTTCCTGGGTTGATCAATGAGTTCTTTTCAAAATTCCTCAATTTTTTGTTGGTTTATTTTTTGTTTGAACAAGGACAAGGATGATGAGTGCTCATATTCTGACACCTCTTGTATGAGATGAATCATTAGATTCATCTATGAGCAAATAAAGCAACCCTCTGAGTCCTTTGCTAAAATATGATATCAAATAGCTACTTTTCCTAAATTTTATCTCTAATCATAGCTTCTTTTCTCCTTGGCTTCTTTTTGAGGTAGTTAGTCTTCTGTGTGGATGGGATTAATAAATTTTATTAAACAATTATGAAATTGACAATTGTTTAAAATTTATTTTGAATGAAAAGATGGAGGATACAAATAATGGTTACTTGTATTATTGACACTTTAAGGTGAATTATTGAATTTTATTTTTGAGTTTCGACCCTATTGTTGAACTTTCATTTTGTCTTTTTAATGGTTACTTCTGTGGTCGTGTCTATTTCTTCTTATAGTAAGCTAAATGAAATTAATCTGTTTTAGCTCAAAAATAGTTGTTCTAATTTTTCAGCTTTTTTTCAGGTTGCTTTGGACATAGAGTATCACCATAATATGTTATTGTCCCATCAAAAAGTGAACCAAAAGGAAATCATTGTTGGATGGTAAGTCCAGTTCTTTTAAAATTCCTCATCTGTCAATGTTATCACTCAAGTGGTACATAACAGAACTATAAGTGATGGGTATAAGTAAATCATTAAAATACATATCTGAAAGTGTTGTTTGTTAAACATTGTGTTTGTGTGGAATGGGATGCAATGTTTTTCTCCAAATCTCTGTTTTAACTCTAATATTTTTATATGGAGGAATTGGTTTTGGACCTTTTGATTTCTTTAATGATCTTCAGTTAATATTAATATTCAAATAGACAGTAGAACTGTACTTTGTGCTAAGTTGCTTCTTTAGTCATTTATTTGGCTATCTTGGAAGGATGACTCATGCCTTGTATATATCTCCATCTCTGGGTTAGAAACTGGTGTTATCTTTGGTTATTTATGCAGGTATTCAACCGGACTTGGAGTAACCGGTGGCAGTGCATTGATCCATGAATTTTATTCTCGAGAAGTACCCAATCCCATACATTTGACTGTTGATACAGGATTCACAACTGGAGGGAGTATCATAAAAGCTTACGTGTCAAACAATTTATCTCTTGGAGACAGGCAAATTGCTGCACAGTTTCAAGAAATTCCACTGGATCTTCGTATGGTTGAAGCTGAGCGAGTTGGATGTAAGTATTGATTGAACTCTCTCTATGATCATTGTAACTTGAAATATTTGCTGAAGCTTCTCTAGTATTTTAAAGATAATCTTGCCTGACACAAAGTACTTGGGAAATTCTTGTAGCTTTTGAGTATGTAATGGAATTAACCTTTATACAATAAGTGAACATTTATTTTTATGGAAGTTGAGCTGTCAATTTTCTGAGAGAATGGATCCATAGGTAGGTAGTTTGTTATGAACCTGAATTAATTCTGTTCTATTTACAATGTAACAAATCAGTACTCTGTTTCTATCTTCCAAATTACAAAGCTTCTAATTGAACCAAGTTTCACCGAATTCGTTTGTTTGAGACTGAGGTATATTAAGTATCAGTTTAGTTTATTGTTTCCGTTGTTAATGTCTGTGCTAATCATTAAACACCATTCCCATTTCTCAGCCATGCAATGGCAATGTGTTGTTGATATATACTTTTATTTATTGTTGCTTTGTGTTGAGGTTCTATTATGAAACAAATGTTCATTATTTTTAATTTGAATGATCAAAGCTGATATCTTGTAATGGCAGATGATACCCTAAAGGCAACCACTGTCGACAAAATTCCCTCTGATTTAGAAGGCATGGAAGCATCAATGGAACATCTGCTAGCTTTGATTGATGACATCTACAAATATGTTGATGATGTTGTGGTATGATGCATTGTCTTCATTATAAACTTTGATGTTTAGCATTGTATTAATTACTTTTGATCTCAGGAAGGACGAGTCACGCCAGACAACAAAATAGGAAAATTCATATCAGATGCAGTAGGTTCCCTCCCCAAATTGCCCCCATCAGATTTTGATAAGCTTGTGAATGACAGCTTGCAGGTGAGATGTTGCAATTGTTTTATAAAGTGGGATCTTATGTTTTTAAAACAATTGTAAAATATGATCAAACAGATTATTGTTTATGATCACTTCTTAGCTACAACATATCATAGCTTTCTTTGGCTGACACATGTTTCACTATTTTCAGGATCACTTGCTCATGCTATATTTATCTAGCATCACAAGAACTCAACTTAGCTTGGCAGAAAAATTGAACACGGCTGCGCAGATTTTGTAACTTTGACTGTCTTTGAGCGAAGGCAATTTTTTTCCTGATAAAGGTTTCCTTGTCCATAAAGGCTTCCTTTTCATATTTTCAGAAATTGTAGAATCAGCATTTTATACTTAACCTTTGCTTTAATTGATTGTATTGTATTTTGTGCATGGTAATGCATGTGGTTTTCTTTAATACTTCCTTTTCATATTTTCAGAAATTGTAGAATCAGCATTTTATACTTAACCTTTGCTTTAATTTATTGTATTATATTTTGTGCATGGTAATGCATGTGGTTTTCTTTAATACCTCCTACAAGGTTGCAGCGTAGTAGCATTCACTTGTGTAACTTACTATATCTTACTATATTTGAAAGAGAATGAGCGAAATCCTTTCTTCTATTTTGTATTATACTTGTGTTTGAATCAATGTAATAATAACCGGTATGCAAATGCCAGTTCAATCAGGAACCGGACCTAGGGCAGGTCCAATTCAGCCATATAACCACTCTGCACAACAATTGGATTTATAACTGACTGGTTTAACCACTACGAAAATGGCTGAATTGAAAAAGAAAAAAAACAGGAGGTTCGCTGGGTTTACACTTCTAATAGCATCTCTGTTTTAGATTATTCAAGCAAGATAGAAGTAGAGTAAGGGTGGCAATATGACCGGCAGTAGAGTAAGGGTGGCAATATGACCGGCAGTAGAGTAAGGGTGGCAATATGACCGGCTGGATCAAATTAGACTTATTTTAAGAGAACTTCTTACTTTTCAATGTAGTAATAATTGTTATTTTTTTTATTGTGTTATATAATTATGACTTTGTATACTATTTTTAACAAATTAATAAGACTAATATAGTAAAAGTGTAATATTTTATGACAATATCAATACATTCTTTAATCTCTGTGTAAAAATCTTAAGGGTCCGTTTGTTTCAACGGAGGGGAGGAGATGAATTTTAATAAAAAGGAAGGGAGGTGAGATGATGTATTTTAATTAAACGTGTATGTTTTGTTCATAAGAGGGGGAGGGGAGGGAGAAGTTTTATTTAAATATAAGTTTGGCTCACGGGAGGAGGGGAGGAGTTTTAGAACTAATTTATTTTTTTATCCTTAAAACATTATAACAAACATGCTAAATAAATTTTTAAAAAAAAAGAGTATTCACAAAAAAAAAAATTGTTATTTCATAAAAAACATAGATAATTAAACACAAAAAAATTAAACATTTAAAATACTCTAAAATATCTTAAAATGAAAATAAAATATTGATAAACATCATAAAATCAAATTATATGATCAATGATCATATGAACCATTTTTTCATCTTGATGATCCATTTAATCCTGTAACATATTTATAAGATTAAATTCTACATAATATATAACTCATACTACAATTATATATTGATATGTAATATAATACAACAAATTATAAAATAATTAAGTTATTACAAACAAAATATTAAATAAAAATAAATAGAATAAAACACATGGGAAAAAAGTTGAATAATAATAATAAAAATAGTGGAGTTACCATTAAACAAATAAAAGAATTATAATAAGGTGACAAAAATTAAGGTATAATATTAATAAAGACAATTAAAAACTTTATTAAATAAAAGTGAGGATAATTTTGTCAATATAATAAAAATGCATGTTATCATAACTCCTCTCCCTCCCCCCTCCCTCCGAAAACTCCCAATTTGGGGAACGAAAAAGTGCTCCTGGAAGGATTCTGATTACCTCCAATCTTCTCCTCTCCCCTCATAAAAAATTGAACCAAACGCACCTATTCTAAAATATTCCCTCCCCTCCCCTCCCTTCCAAAACCCTCCAACCAAACAGACCCTAAACAGTAGTCATTTTGAAACGGAGGAAGTATCATGCAAATTTTCTATAATGTTTTTAGTTTTCGGAGATATATCTTCGGATGTACTATATTTTAACTAAATATTAAGATATTCAGAAGATATATCTCTAGATGCACTAAAGATTAATTGAACGTTGAAATATTTTGAAGATATATCTCTAGAACAATTTGGAGCATATTATCGCGTCAGACTCTTCTGCTACACTTTTTCATTTCCATACACTAAACTCTTTCACTCTCTCTTTCTCAAATTTCTCCAACTTCACCAAAATGTATTTCATCTGTCCGAGGCTCTAATAATCATCAATTGTCATCTATTTCATCATACAACATCTTCTAAATCATAAATTTCGGATATGTTTTTTGAGTTTCCGATAAATATTCAAGTTTTGTTGTAAACAAGTTAGAATCCATTGTTAGGTGTCGAAATCTTTAGAAATCAGATGAAACATAGTTTAGAGTAACTACATGTATTGTTTGTTGGCTCAAATGCACGATCAGGGCTTTAAATTTCTCATCCTAAGGGGGCAGAAGACGTCATGGTCGCGGCCTTTGAGTTCCAGAATGTTTCGGAGATACATCTTCGAAAACATTCAATATTTCATGTACTCTGGATGATTCCGGAGATACATCTGCGGAATATTTTCGTAGTTGTATCTCCGGAATCACCCAGAGTACATGAAAAGTTGAATGATACGGGAGATGTATCTCCAAAAAAATTTCAGTCTTTTTTTCTTTTCTTTTTGTTTTATAAGTTTTTTTTGTGTAAACTTATTGTAAGGTTAATACCTTGCAGGTATCATGGCTGGCAGAGTCAACCAATTGAGGCATGGATGAGTAGTCCAACACGCATCCATTAGATGAGAGCGGAGCCAGCCGGGTCCGGGTGCAGCAGGTACCTCTGGTCAGGAAGAGGCGTCGACTGCTAGTGTACAGGCTACTCCTGAGGCTTAGCCCACTCCTGGAGTTCAACCTTTACCCCAGACCACTCCATCTACTCTAAGACCATTCTAGCTACATCTCAGCCCACACCACCTTCTTCATCTTCTTCCCGCAGACCACGAGACGCACCGGCTGACGCGTCACTTCTCCATCCTCCCGCAGGCGGAGGGATGCACCTGTGCCACCTCCTGTTGATTTGGTCGCATCTGCTGATCGGGATGCATCAATGCCACCTCTAGAGGGTGATGTTGCTGATGCCGAGCCAGAGGCTTTCGGAGGGGGTCCATCTAATATATCCCTGCTTCCTATGTACCTAGACCACACTGTCAGATATATTTGGGACGAAGAGGTAACATTAGTCACATAGTTACTATATTTTTTTTTACGTTAATTTAAATTGCCGACATTGATTATTTCTAACATTGATTCTTTTAGACATTGATTATTTCTAGAAATTCGTAGGTGCGTGATCTAAAAAAATTTATGAACCATGGGCAGAAGATTTAGCATTGCATAAGCCTGATGAGGAGTGGTTTCAATTGGTTTTGATTGCTTCTGGGTTGAGTGACTTATGTATGACTGATTACACTCTGGTCAACCATGTGATGCTTAATGAAATCTTGAAGCAATGACACTCTGAGACCTCTTCCGTTCGTCTCCCGCATGGTGAGATGTCGATAACACTAGACAATGTCTCGTCTTTGTTGCGTTTACCGATCAAGGGGAGATTCCTCCATCATGGTAGGATAACCAAAGATTAGGCGGTCAATACGATGATGGAGCATCTGGGGACTGATCTAGAGAAGGCGCTCGAGGAATTTGATAAGATTATGGGTGTTCATGTTAGGTTTTTGTTCTTGAAGGCGATTTGATGAGGCGGTCGTTGCTGTAGAGCAAGCTGATGATATTGCCCAGGAGGTGGCCATACACAGGACTCATGCTTTGATGTGTTATTTTCTATTTTTAGTTGGCACTGTGCTTTTTGTGGACACGAGTGCCACCTACACTGACGTTGCATACCTCAGATACTTCTTGGATCTCACATGGATCCATGAGTACAACTAGGGGGTAGCTTGTGCAATATCCCATATTCCCTTAAATGCTCATTTGGGTGTCAGTTGGGATCAAGTGAGTTCCTATGTACCATATTTTGTTACTTAGAATAATTAGAGCTTCTAATTGCTCTAAGTGTTATCAGTTGGGACAAATAGAGTAACTAGTGAACTCTAAAGAGATCAATTATTATTTAAAAGAAAAAGGACTATTTTTAATAAGTGCAAGATGAGACATTTTGGTAACATTAATAATTGATTAATTGGTACTAGAAGACAAAATATCAATTGAGATATTTTGTACTAAATATTATAATATATATTATATATGTTTATGTGGTAGATAAGAGAGAAAAAGATAAGAATAAGGAAAGAAAGAGAAAAGGAAAAAGGAGATAAGAGGGAAAGGAAACATGAGGGAAAGGAAAAGAATAAGAGAAGAGAAAGAAGAAGAGGAAGGAAAGAATAAGAAGGAAAAGCCACGGGTTCATCATCTTCCTCACCCCCATCATCTCATCTTCATCATCATCATAATTATTCATCGCTTTCTTCACCAAACTACATCATCTTCAAGAGATGAGTTCCTTAGATAACATTAAATTTAGGGAGGAGGATTTCATGATTGAGAATTAGGATTGTGTGATTCCATGATAAATTGTTTTTGTTCTTGATTCTATGTTGTTGTTGGATTAATTTCATGTTCATGCTGTAAACAAATGGTGAAACTATGAGGTTGTTGTTTCTTAGAGTTGGGAAATTATGAAAGTCATGGTGTGGGATGTTTGGGCATGTTAAAAGGTGATTATAAATGGCTTAGAGTGGATAAAAGTGGAATAAAATGGAGTTTTATGAGTGCTGAAACTGGTTTTCGCGCCATACCCAGCCTAGGGGCGCTACGCTCAACCCTGAGCACTTTCGAGCGCTGCTAGCATAGCCTTTCTGTCCCCTATCGCTGCTAGCACAACCCTTCTATTTCCTAGTGCAAAGCACGACTGACAGCTTCACGTTTTCCCCTATTGCACGGTTCATGGCGTAACTTGAGTTTCGTAACTCTGTCTGAGGCGCGGTCGGAGGTGTTGATTAATTGAATAGTAATAAGTTGAAATAAATGTGGAATAATATGTGAATGGATGAAGATGAATACCTAGCATTGT